TTCTTGAAAGATGAATATTAGTAATCCTTTGACATTCTTATTGATGTGCTTGCTCACTTGTTTGCTTTCAAATTTATTATCTAACGGACTCCACCCATCCAATTACGGAACAGAGAAATTAAAGACATAAGGAAGGTTCATCAAATGCATTAAGAAAGGAAGTGGACAAAGAGTTACAAAAGGCGAAGCCCCTTATCCATCTGACCAGTAGGAAGTGTCAAGATGACTCGGTAGTTGGGAAGTTTTCCATCTGTTCAAGCTAGCTCATTTGGTGATGATATTTGATGAGTTCATTTGCTTCACTCTTTTGTATTTCTACTTCTTTGTTCGAAGTCTACTTGGCTCAGTTCCAAATGTGAATTCTTTAGTGGAATCTCTCTATTTTAGCCCTCAATTTAGGGCTAGTTTTCACTCTATCTCTACGGTGAGGAACTACTTCAATCAGGCAACCTCTTTTCCAGCATTCCTTCTTTATGGGAAGGGTAGACCTATTCCCGGCCCCCTTCTTGTTTTCTCTAGTACCGAACCCCCTTCCTGGTGGAACGCACTGGGTCTTCTATTTCCAGCCAAGCCTTCCTTCTTCTCTACGGGAGCATCTGCTTCTAAGACCATGAACTTGAAATGGGAATCTGCCTCATTAACTACTACCTCTTCAGGGGATGGAGTTTGCTGACTGTTAACGGTCAAGGGGATGGCTTCTCAATGTGGACTTCGTTGCTCCTTCTTTATTTCCATATATAGATCTTTTGATCATCCATGACGGAAATGCACGCGAAAAGCGAAAGAAATGAGCCTTAGCACTACTCTATGAACCAACCCTATTTATGGTGAGTTTAGTGAAAGAATCTCTTTGAAAAAGATCTGATTCTGTTGGTGTTCAAGTGGTAGCTTCGTCTCTCAATGGATTGGTTCATTTTCCTCAAATGTGGGCGTATCTCCCTCATCCACCTCTTTGGTGGTGGCCTTTTTCAGAGGAGTTACGGAATGAGAGGCACTATAGAACTTGGCTGAAGCTGAATTTAGTGGTTTGTCGCATAAGCCCTTGAGGATATGCTACATGCACTTTCCATCTGCTGGCGTACTCTTTGATCTAAGAAAAGTGCTTCTAGAGTCAGTCTCTAACAAACGAACATCCTTATGGAATGGAGGGATTCTATATACGCTAATTCTTGAAATCCTTTCAATTCATTCTCTTATCTAACCCAGCGTACATATACGAGTCAATGCTGACTTCATAATGCCTCAATACCGTGCAAGTGAACCAAGTGCTTCTTTCTATAGATCGAAGTGCAAAAAGCATCCCCTTTCAAGTTCAATCACCCAATAGAATTGCCGGTTCAACAGGCAATACCTCCCATTTAGATCAGTAGAGCCAAGCCCAAGATGATGTTGTTCATGGGAATCTTCGATTTCCTTGTTTTTGACGTCAAAGAGAAGTTGGAAATCAGTCCTAGCCCTTTCATACAAAAGAAATAAGAAGTTTCTTTGAACCATCAAGACAGAGGCAATTTGTATCATTTTCGTAGTTCATTTTGGAAGACTATAGGAGCATTTGTATTCCGAACCTATTCAGATCATTTCAAGTTCTTACTCCAAATATACAGGAGTCTTGTTAGGTCTAGTTCTAATATTTGGATCAAATAATAGGTTGGATTTCTTACCTATTCTTTAAAGCAAAAATCATAGAAAATACCAGTTCTAGAACCATGGATTTTGGGAGGATCGAGAATGCTGATTAGAAATAATATATGAGGATCATATCCATCAACACAAACATCACCAGCTCCCTCAAATCGTGATGATCATCCTTAATATCTTCAAGGTCAGCACGTTTTGCGCATAACTAGGACCTTCCCCACTCCGTCCAATAAGGACAGTGCTGATGACAGCCAAGCTGCCAATACCCCTAGGTAGTCATTGTTAGTAGTAGCTTCCCTGTGGAGGAATCAATATCTTGACATAAGCCCCCAAAAGGTATTTGTGGAGGATTCAATCCCTCGACATAAGCCAAGAGGCAGATCTTATGCCACTCCACCTGGTTGTATGAAACTGGCATGCATTCTGGCTCCTAAGACTCTTTCATAGAATTCTAACAATTTCTCCAGCTCCTCAAAAGCCCACAGGAACGGAGTTGATGCTCCCACATCCATAGCATTAGTAGTTAAAGCAAATGAATGATTTGAAATTCGAGTGATTTCACGTAATAAAACTCGTATATATTGAGCTCGTAACGGTACCTCGCAATTCAAAAGTCTTTCTACGGCTGAAGAATGAGCGTGTTCTTGGGCCATCGTAGAAACATAGATAGGGTCGACGGCAGAACGAAGAACAAAACTTAACGACAGCTTTTTCGTACATGTTCAATTGCATCATATACACAAGTGCTCTCTGAACCGTGCAATAAGGTCACCCATAATGCGGCTCTCCCACTGGAGTGACCTTAGCCCCAGGCCATGCTATTCCATAATATTGGAAAAATGTCAGCGTAACGTAACAACTAGTATTGAAAGCTGGCCGACTTTTGAGGGAGGGAAAGCCTTTTCAATAGGAGCCCTACTTTCCAATCACTAAGAAAAAAGAACAATCAAAGCCCTATTATCATTGTAAAGCTTTGTCTATGATTTTGCCGGACCCATTGGTGTTTACTCGAACCATTCCCTAGTCTCCCGCACTACTCAAGTCAGTGTGCGACTCCTACTGAGGACCTCCTTCCCTTTTGCCCACTCTCCGTTCACACAGTTCTCAAAGTAAAGGAGGAAGGGTGGGCGGCAGGTACCACAAGCCCTCTGTCCCACACATCTATCCAGAAGCAAGTGTAGTTCACCGGTTCCACCGAATGCTCTTATCTCTCGGCAAAGATCGTGTGAGTGTGCAGTTATGCTTCAGATGCTTCGCCATAGAATAGATCGACCCAGTTCCCATTCTTTTCCGGTGTACTCGCTTTATATCTCCGACACACAAGGAAGGACGCGGTGGGAAGGAAGCAGCCCTAGCCTCTGTCCAGCCAATCATTCCGCTGGCATCTCGCATTCACGCGCCCGTTTGACTGCCGCTCAGGGATGTAGTTATAGATATGTTATCTCCTTCTACAACATGCTGTTGTCGTCGCCATATTTAATATGTCACTTAGTCATCTCTGCCTCGCTACGGGTCAGCACCTTCGAAAGAAACGGAGGACTTTATTTAGTGACCCCGCGATCGCCCTCTTAACGATCAGAATAAAATAAAGCTTAAAGATAAGTTTTGTACTCTATTAATTTCTCAGTCCCTCTAGTCGGGTGGGCTTAGACCACTTTTTCGACCAGATCCCCCTAAAAACCATACGTGCAAGTCTCCCAGCATGCGGCTCACGCCATTCGAGGTGGCCCAGCTTAGCATTCATTCAAAAATACTGTAGTGAAATTGAGACTGCTCGACCTCGGAAGCGAATTCGTGTGTAGGCAGCACTGTCTATCATACCGTTGACTCTATCTATGAATTTTATTTGCTTTATTACATTATTGATATAGGTTCGCTCCCTCTTTTTCTAAGAATTCATGCACTTCCCTTGACTCCATAGGGCTTTCTCTAATAGGGAAAAGCCAACCATTTCCATCAAATGACCAGGCCTCCCCTCGCTCTTTCACCAGTCCGGGCTTCTTTTCCTCCCTATGCTATGCTCCCCGACGCAGGCCTACCATGCTTCGCGCCTGCGGCATTTTCGCCAGACAGTCTTTGGCCAGTAGTGCCATCCTCCCCGCTGGCTGTATGGGCGGGTTGTCTTAGTTCTGTTAGGCTATGGATTATAAGAACAAATCACGTTGAATGGAACAGCAGGTGGGTTACACGTTCCACTGTGCCGAGATGTGAGGTATGGGTGGTGGTGATCACCCCAGGGTATGCGCTAGCGCCCTTGACAGGCACTACAGAACCCGTCAATGTTGTGAAAACCTGGGTCTCAGTCAGTCCTCTATTCATCTGATTGGAGGTGTGGATAATGAGGCCACCTTCACAACCTTTTCCCTTCTGTCCCTATGTTGTAGTAAAGTAGGGCGGTGAAATTGAGTTGCTCAACCTTCCCTTAGTCCGGTGCTTATGACTAGGAACCTCCACCGCTAGGGGGACCAAACAAGGCATAGCTAGCAGCATAGGAGCTGATTTGGCGTTAGTGGCTTCGTGCCGCACTAGAGTGATCCAATATATGGTTCCGCACGTTTTACCCCTTCTCCATTCATTTCCAATACTGATCATGAAGCACCATGAGCAGCAGGATGTTGAGGTCCAAAATTCGAAGTGAAATTTTTGATTTGCCTGTTCCGAGTCGTCATGGGAAAAGAAAGGAAGAAAGAAGAAAGACTGCCCTCTCTCGGCTATATGTTGGTCCAGCCTACTACAATTCAAAAGCTTAACCTTGGGAAATCCCTTTTTTTAACACCCTTATTCCCCAGGTATTGAAGTCAAAGCTAGACCAACATACAGCCCTGACTGGTATCCTACTTATCGGCAATTCAAAAGTTTTATAAAGGAGTGGTCCAGTAAGGCACCACCCTATTGTGCCAGCAGCTAACTCAGGTGTGTCAGCTTCGTTATCCTTATCAAGCCATTTACTTGATGTCTAGCTTCCCAACTGGTATACGGTTCCTTTTCCCCCTTATCAATGAAAAAGGGAGAAGTTAGTTGATTCTTCCGAAGAACCTACTACAGCGAAGCGCTATGTTAGGGCGGCGGGACGGGAAAAGAAATGGCTCCGAAGAAAGAAATTGGAGTTCCCAATGCTTCTCCACGCCCAACGAGATGTGCTAACCTCGGGATGCTTGACTCCTAACCCCACAAGGTTCCGAGACGGAGCTTAAACTGAGTCTCGATTAAGAATGGCAATGATCTCAGTTTCAAAAATGCACTTCTGATCTCATCTGTATGTAGATCGAAGAAAGAATCTCATTTTTTTCATGTTGACTACTATCTTTTTAAAGTAGATAGCCAAAAGTGCTCATTCTATAAGATATTGGAAAAGCCGACTTATGTTTCCACATCATTTTCATTACGAAGATGTATCACGTCAGGATCCGTTGCTCAAACCGAATCACGCCATCGTTACGGAAGTTCTTGGATCGTGTCAAATCAGAGTCGTACCAAAGGCAGCACCTTTTTCTTTCATAATCCAAAATGGAAAATTGGCTATAGAGATTCCACGCGGTCAGAAAATCATACAGACACAACGGGCTTCGACGGGAAAGTCGTTTCGATCCAATCCATTTTGGGGGTCAAATAAAGACAAAAAGGGATATGTCAGTGACCTAGCACGAAAAAGCACTCTTCAAGGGCATGGAATGTCACATTTTTTGGTCAGAATATCCACAGTAATGTCTCTGTTAGATTCTCTGGTCGAAATACGGGAAAAGTCCATTCAATTCTCGATGGAAACGGAGTTTTGCGAATTCTCCCCGGAACTTATAGATTATTTTGAGATCTTCGAACATATTCGAGGGTTCAATGTGACTATTGTCACTTTGGCCAACACACAAGATGAGACTTTACCACCATAGAGTGGCTTTTTTCATAAAGATGAAGTGGAAACTCAGTAAGATGTCGAAGAATCAAAATATACGAGATCACAAACGTAGATTGCTAGCGGCTAAATATGAATTGAGACGAAAGCTTTATAAAGCCTTTTGTAAAGATCCCAATCTTCCTAGTGATATGCGGGACAAATATCATTGTAAGTTGTCCAAGTTGCCAAGAAATAATTCCTTTGCACGAGTCAGAAACCGATGTATTTCCACGGGTCGCCCTCGTTCTGTATATAAGTTCTTTCGAATTTCTCGTATCATTTTTTGTGGGTTAGCATCTCGAGGTGCTTTGATGGGCATAAAGAAATCGTCTTGATAGCAACCACCAATCCAATAAAAATAAGGGTTCGCTCTGCTGCTGGTTTACAAGCAAGGTAAGTAGGTCCATTACCGGCCAGCTCCGACCCAAAAAGACCTAACGAAGTCATCCCTTATCTCAGATCGGAGATGCTAACGGGGCAGGAATCGAAGTGGGGGACCTCTCTACCGCCTCTGTCTATCTTTCCTTCCTGTCAAGTATACTCCCCAGATATAGACTACATATAAAAAATTACTCTTGGAAAGATAGAATCTCACCTGTGAATATCACATTCAGTTACGAATGTCACTCCTAAGGGAGTGACCACTATTCTCAATATAGTAAGGCGGGGAACTCTTGTTCATTGAAGCGCCGGAGTGCGGAGGTTGTTCCATCATTGAAGTCAAAGGTGGGACTGAGCCTTCCGAATGAGAAAGACAAAAAAGTGCTTCGTTTCGTTGGAAAAACCAACGTAAATATCATATTGACTTTCACTCACCCTACTTTCTAAGGATAGATAGTTTAGGTGGGAGAGAGTGAATGAAATTCTCTCCTTTCCAAAGCTGCACAAGGCGGCCCCCCTAGAATAAAGCCCCACCCCTCTTTTCCCCTTTGAATGAAAGACCCTCGCCTCACTTCCTATTCATTTTTGGGTCTGGACCCGAGGGGCTTTTTTTCTCAAGAGGTGATTTCGAGAATCAACCAACCGAGAAAGATTTCACCCCAGTGAGTCACTGCCCCCCTATCACCCAAATTATTCAAAGGGCTTATTGATTTGATTCAGGGCCCAGCGAAGCCAAATTCCATCACGGCAAGGTTTTCCTGATGCTGAGTCATCATCTGTCAATTTCGCTATGTTATTGGAATAGGAAACGTTTTCAAATGATATGGACCCCATAGATGAGCGAGAACCTCCAATTGCTTAGGGGTCGCGGCTCTGTCCTGCTTGGTGGACAAAATCTTCTCTTCTTTTCTCATTCTTTCTCCCACGCACCTTTGTGCCCTCTTTCACCGAAGAGGAAAGAAGAATCTTCCAAGCGGACAGAGACCTCCATTTCCATTAGATGATTCATTCCTAAGCTTGCTTTGTTGCAGCAAGATGATCAGTCCAGGAGTGCTGGAGAGAATATAAAGCAGTCAAAACCTCTCTTCTTCGGTCACCGAGCAGTAGAATTCAGAGGACTCTTCACCCTTATACGCTTCTTTTGCTGTATAACCCCCTCCATCCTTCGAAGGTGGAAGAAAGGTCTAAATAGTTGATATAGTAGGGCCCTAGAATGCTCAAAAGGTGGGGGAACAAGAGTTGTCATGATAGAAAAGAGAAATGACTATAAGGAACCAACGATTCTCTCTTCTTAAACAACCTATATCCTTCATACTGAATCAACATTTGATGGATTATCCAACCCCGAGCAATCTTAGTTATTGGTGGGGGTTTGGTTCGTTAACTGGTATTTATTTAGTCATTCAGATAGTGACTAGCATTTTTTTAGCTATGCATTACACACCTCATGTGGATCTAGCTTTCAACAGCGTAGAACACATTATGAGAGATGTTGAAGGGGGTTGGCTGCTCCGTTATATGCATGTTAATGGGGCAAGTATGTTTCTCATTGTGGTTCACCTTCATCTTTTTCATAGTCTATATCATGCGAGTTATAGCAGTCCTAGGGAATTTGTTCGGTGTATCGGAGTTGTAATCTTTCTATTAATGATTGTGACAGCTTTTATAGGATACGTACCACCTTGGGGTCAGATGAGCTTTTGGGGAGCTATAGTAATTACAAGCTTAGCTAGCGCCATACCTCACGTAGGAGATACCATAGTGACTTGGCTTTGGGGTGGTTTCTCCGTGGACAATGACACCTTAAATCGTTTTTTTAGTCTTCATCATTTACTCCCCTTTATTTTAGTGGGCGCCAGTATTCTTTATCTGGCCGCATTGCATCAATAAGGATCAAATAATCCATTAGGTGTGCATGCAGAGATGGATAAAATCTCTTTTTACCCTTATTTTTATGTAAAAGATGTAGTAGGTTGGGTAGCTTCTACTATCTTTTTTTCCACTTGGATTTTTTATGCTCCTAATGTTTTGGGGCATCCCGACAATTATATACCTACAATGCAGAGGAATCTAAGCACGTCATTTTCTTACTCCAAATATACACGAGTCGGATACTAAGAGGGAAGCTACTAATAACAATGACTACCCAAAATAAGACTCTGGTCTATGAGTGGAAATCCAAGGTGCACCTTGCCTTTTCTCCAGTATACCCCAATTCACTTCTGCCACTCCTATACTTATATCTTGGATTGTCATTAGTCTTATTTCTTGAAACTGCTACTATGTACTACCAATCACTTCTTTATTTGCTGTCAGTGGTTGCTGGTGAGGTTGTTAGGCTTTCTTCCTTCGCTGCTTGAGCATTGAAGCTTTTCTCTCACTCATTGCCATAACCATTCTTCTAAGTCATTTCATATGACAAGCTATCGATACTTCACATCTGGACATTTGCGTTAGAAAGAAGTGTCTGTTCACATCTAGATTGGCCATTAACTTACTTCTATTGGTGCCTGCTAGCTTTCTTTTTGACGTGATTGGATTTTTATTTGGTAAAGAGCTTGAAGCCCCCCGTTCACTACTTACCGAATACTCAAACTCTAAGAAACGGAGTCCCTTAACTCCACCCCATTTTGTGGTCTAAGTATAGGCCTAGTTCAAGGGAAGGACAGTAGTAGATTAGGCAGCAAGATTGTAGTGAGGACATGGCTTACTTCATCGCCGGTAGTGCCTTCTAACATGGGCTCGAGGAGATTCATTGACTATAATAATACCCGTTTGCCTAAGATCTCCGACCGGTATAAGGTAAAGCACATACTCGCCCCTGAGCAAAGAGAAATCCTCGGATCGAGGGGACTAGCTACATAGCGACGGAAGTATGGAAACTAAGGTCTCTATTTCACTCTCGACGGACGCTTAGGGATAGCTACTGGAAATTGGATGGTATTGGTCATAACAAGCAAGCTAAAATTGAGCAAATCTAGGACTGGCGTATTGAGTAGATAGGCCTTTAATGCTTTTTGACACCTTTCATCTTAATCCAATGAGTTGGCTAGTGGTCCTTTGAACAATATTTTACTAAATCACTACAAAAGTTATCATATGGGGCCAAGTGGGAGACTATAAGATATTTTTTTATATTTGTGGCCCACGTAATTTAGACACATACTTTTTTTTTTTTTTGGTGGTTAAATAAAATAGATATTAGACTAATATTATATTATTTGGTCAACTTATAAATTATCTTTTTAATAATTAATTATTGGGGAAATGTTTTTCTATTTATTTCTTACTTTGATGGAAAGTGGAATTAAAGTTACTAAAGAGAAAACTAGTAATCTCTCTGCCTTTATAAAAATGCATATATCCCATCAATTATGTACACTAATGAAACAACATGTATAAAATTTATGTGTGTAAAAGGCCAAAAGAGATAAATCGGTTTCTACGCTGCCAAAAGATGTGCGGAAGATGGGTAGAATTAAGGTCTAAGATGTGTAACAACGGTGGTTTTTGAAGAGAATTGTGAGGAAAAAGATGAAATCACTAGGAAACCCACTCACAATGATATACATATATCATACACACAACCATCACAACCCTCCACTTGTCACCGCAACAAGCCTCCACACAAAACATGAAATTAATCCCTATACTTGGAAATGATATACATATATCATACACACAACCATTACAACCCTCCACTTGTCACCACAGCAAGCCTCCACACAAAACATGAAATTAATCCCTACACTTGGCATAATCCAAGTCTTCCACATGTTACCAACCAAAAGTCAACACACGGTTCCATAAAAGAGTGACACTTGTCACACTTTTCAAAAATTATAAAAAGTCCCTAAACAAAATATTTTCCAAAAATAATTACAATAGGCTCTTAAACCAAAAATATCTCAAAAAGATAATCGCACAAATAATTCTGAAAATGAAAATGTCTCCTAAAGAAATAATACACTTATACCACCAAGAAATGAAAATAAATTAGCATGCTTCGCTACACAATCAAACTATGTACTAACAATAAAATAAATTAAAGTGAATGCATGAAATGTCGAAAACCTATTCCGAACACCAAACCCTATCTTGGGTCTTACAAAACCCTAAGATAACAAAAAAAGAAACAATAAATAAATGAATAAAATAAAATAAAATAAAAAGAAAGAGTGCCGGAAAAAGAAAATATGACACGGTCATCACACTGCACTTCTCTTCTGAAGATCTTCACCTTTAATGCTTCTAAACAAAACCATTGACCTAAAATTGATAGCCCTCCCCTACGTGTAGGTGTGGACGGTACTAATCAACTCTAAGATACAACCCAAATCAGCTCTCAGCGATGTCTCCTCCATGTGCACGACCACAGGAAGGCAAATGGATCAAGTCTTTATATGTCCAAGTTGCCTCAAAAATATATATGAAGAATACAGAAATATAACTCAAAGTCAAAGAGAAAGAGGGAGAAAGAAAGATGTTCTATTGGGCTAACCTATCTACTTATAAGAAAGGGGCCCAACAACTATATTCTTATTACAAACTAAAAATGTCCAGATAATAAATGGGCTATAAATCACAATAAATCTTGTAAATAAAAATCAAACTCTAACTCAGCTTGCATTTATTTTTGCTTTGTGGGTTGATTAATTTATATTCAATTCTGTAAAGCAAAAATGTGGATAGATGAGCCAGTTACCCTTATTCACCCCCTCTAAATGTTTTTAAAATAAAATTACATAACCTATTATGCACTGTGCAACTCACAACAATTGTTGTCAATTGCAAATCGATGAACAAATAGCAAGTTAGATGAAACATTTTTAAGAACAAACTCAGATGTGTTTAAATGAAAAGTAGAGAACCAATTTTTTGATGTGCAAACCTGCACCATTTTCCAGAGTGACCTGATCATCCCTATGGTATGCATTGTGAAGAGATAAGTTCGCAAGGTCTTGCGTTATATGGTTTGAGTTTCCGCTATCAGCAATCCACACTTGATCACTTGTATCTTTAGAATAAGTTGCTGCCATTGCAAACAACTTCTTAGTGGAAATCTTTCCTTCATATGCTTAATCCATGCAATGATAACAATTTATTACAGAGCGCCCTGGTTTGTCACAATTAACAATTTGGACGATTTGAATTGGCAGAGGAACGAACCCTTCTGTTTTGACGTGTTGAGGCATTGGTTGGACTGAGACGCCGGTTTATAAACCTTGAATGTCAAGATTGTAGTTCGAATTTTGGTTTGGATGCAAGAGCTGTCAAAGGCACATCTTGAGATAAGGAGTGGTTTTCTAGACACGTCTCAGCACTCAAATTTTGTTCATTGTAGCTCAAAATCTAAATTTCTTCTTGATAACAATGGCAACCCACGTAATGCTATCAATCCTGCCTTTATTTCTCGTTAGGAAAAGGACCAACCGTACTTCTCAGTTAGATTTATGCCACGTTAACACCAGAGCTATTATCTACTGTAGCCTGACTTTCTACTTCAGATATGTATGGAATGATCTTGAAAAATATATGCTTCAGAATCACGAAGCCGACTCATGCAACTAAAACGTCAACTTCAAACTGCCAAGAGAGGTAATCTTTCAGTAACTAAATATTGGAAAAAATGTAACCCAACTTTGAAGCTAACCCACATCTCCACTTGAGAAACAATGGTACCAACCCACATCTCCACTTAACAATGGTACCAACGCATTTATCATCCGGCCCATTGTGGAAGAGACAAAATTAGTTCACCCCATAACAGGAATAGATCCATTAAGAGGGGGATGCAAAACAAACCATGCCCAACCTCAAACTGTGAGACCATCGGCCCACCTGACTACCAACCTACCAAACTAACCCTATATGGCTATATATCAGCGAGACCTGGACGGGAGCAAGATACAATTCCACAGAGCATCCATTGGAGAGGTTAGGTGACGGAGAAGTAGGCGTTCCGGTTCGAAGAAGGGTGGAGAGAGATTCCAATCCGAAGCAACTGATCGAGAAAATGGACATTGGCACTGTTTGATGGAGAACAACCGAAGTCTAATCGAGTCCACAATGGAGTTTCAGAGGAGGCGCTGATTTGTTCCTGAAAATTCGATTGTTTCTTTCCTTCCACAAGTGATAGACAAAGCTATCCAAGGTAAGCTTCCAAGTTAGCACTCAGAGTATATTTCAATTTGGGTTTCCATTGACGATGCCCACACCAGAAAGTCATTCCATGAATTAGGGTTTGTACACTTATCTTGTAATTTGTTCCAGATAAATTGGAATAGGAGTATTGGTGAATCGTAAGCTTCCACGTTAGCAATCGACAATATTTCAATTTATGTTTCCAATTGGAGGATGCCCAAATCAGAAAGTCAATCCATGAATTAGGGTTTGTATAGAACACACAATTATCTTGTAATCTGTTCCAGATAAATCGGCGAATAGGAGCATTGGTGAAATAAGTTTTCATGGATTTCAGCTGAATTTAGGCATAAAAAAAATAAACATAAACAAGGCTTGCTTATCTCGAGTCAATAAGTTGTCTTGGATAGCTAACCATAAACAAAATGAGTGTTCAGGAATGGAGTTGCTGAAACATACAAGTTTGTGCCAGTGGGCATTGGGTAGAGGCTCTGATATGGATTCAACTGTGTGGTGAAGAGAATTTGACTTATTTGGAGAAGGGGTCCATTGTATGAGGTCAGTGTTGGTAGGATTAGGGAGAGGTAGGTTAGTGATGTCATGGAAAGGGAGAACAATGTTTTAGACATGTCTAGGCCATGACCACTGGTTTTTTGAAACCAAGGAGGAAACTCTCATGTACTTGTCGATACTCCCGCCCGGCCTAGGATTATTCTTCGTTGCAAATTGCAAAATTGTAGAGTAGAGTTGGTAAGCTTCATGTGAACTCTAGCTAGGTCCACTGCTGTGCTAGGAGATCCACCATGCAAATCTTGTTTTTATGGCTCCAAATACTCCAAATGATCATCTTGTAATTTTGCTTTTCAATGAGACACCTTCAGAATGGGTAATGAACCAGCCAGTAGCATCCTCCAAGGAAGGAAGCTGCAGAAGAACCTCCCAATTGCATAACTCCCCAAACCATTGCCACACCTGTTTAGCACAACTACAAGACTAGAAAAGGTGGTCATTAGAATCCTCCCCATTGTAGCAGTTATGACAAATGGATGTAAGAGCATAAGATTTGTTTGCTCTCTGCATCATCAGCACCACAAACATGGAAAGCCTCGGCCTACTGCCATTCCAGACCAGTGAATACCAAGTTACTTCAGTTCCATGGAGCCTACTCAAATCCCAAGCAGCTGAAAAATTAAACTGGCCCCTCATCATTTGCAGATGGATTGTTATTAATTAAATAACCAGAGATTTCAGCAGGCCAAGGCTAAGGCAATAACCATTAGTTAATTTGCCATAAAACACTGACTATGTCCATACTGTTAAATGTAAGGAAGCCCCATCACACCAAGGGTCAAAGAAAAGGCTGAATGAAACACCATTATTGACTCTGTATCTCAAATGTAGAAGCATACAGTTCCTAACAGATAAATTTATTTCCACATAGCAGAGTTAGAAGACCTACTAATAGCATTCCAAAAATGATCTCTCTTGTGGTACTTGTCTCTGTACCATCTGACCCATAAGGCTTCTTTTAGATGAAGAAAATCCCATAGAAACACATATTTACTAGCTGAATTGATGCTCTGCAAGCTCCTAATCCTCAGACCTCCTTCCCTCTTAGGCTTAGTAGCTTTCTCCCAGCTGAATAGAGGATTTTCCCTGTGCTCAGAATGACCAGTCCATGAGAATTGCTTAACCTTCTTCTCAATGACATTCTGAACCCCAACTGGCAAGGAGAAGACAGTAGACCAAAGATAGTAATATGATGTGATAACTGATTTCACTAATTCCACCCTACCTGCATGGGAAATATTAAAAGAGTTCCAAGCAGATAGCTTAGTGTTAATCTGTCCACTAGCGGAGCACAATGAGCATTTGTTAATCTTCTGTCCACCAGAGGTAGGCCAAGGTGGTTTTGGGACGTTTTGGGCATAATGATGAAGTCTGTTTTCTGATCGGATGGTCTGTTCAATTCTACTTCGTGTTTAGATTGGGGTTCCCAGGAACTGTCTCGGGAAATTTGGAGTTGAGTTCTTCTTACTTTTATGACAATATTTCCCAAATTGCTCTTGTAATTAAACAGGTGCAAAATGGGGTATCTACAATTTGTTATTTCAATTCCAAGCTATCATATTGAAATTTCTTATGATAATCAAATTTGAATGACTTGCAGTATACTTGAACTATAACGTCAGACCCATTTTGTTGATATCTTTAAAAAATATCTCCTACAATCACGGCTGCAGATCGGTGGGTTTTTATGCCTTTCTGGAGGACTTTTAAATTCGTATCGCCTAGTTCTTCTGTTGCACATCATGCATCAGCTTTAACCCAGTATTTTTGTCATTTCCTTTCATTAGGAATTAAACATTTTGAAACGAACAATAGGGTGAAACGGTGTGATAAGTTTCTACACAGTTTTCACTGACTGACATGTTAATTTTAATAATTTGTTTGGACAATTTTATTATCTATAAGATAGATAGTTGATATACAAGTAATATGTAGAAGTTCAAAGTCCAACATATAGTATCTTGCAATGATTTTTTTTTTTTTTTTAGCTAAAGGTAGTAGCATGCTATATTGTTAGTAAATTAGTTCACAAAAACTACTAGCTAAAACTTGTATAGTGTGTTTCTTTTTTTAGTTTTGTTTTTGCAACTAATTACACTTTCAAATATTTTTTTACATTGAAGTGTGACTCAATTAGCATAATTTATCGGCAGCCTTAGTGTTGAAGTTTATGAAAATCAATTTCTGTTGAAGTTCTCTTGGTTGTTGTGTTTGAGTATCTCATATGACCTTTTTGGTTTTGGCAGTGCTACTGCTAAGAATATGTTGAGGAATGTTACTAAACAACTAAGCAATATCAACAGCCTTGATGATATGATGCAAACTCTCAGAAGCAAAATTGAATGGAAAATAAATAAAAGAGAAGTTGAGAACTGGTTGGATAATGTGCAAAAACTGAATTTCAAAGCTTAGAACGAGATGTACAAGGAAATAGTACTACTTTTCAAAATGAATTTGGAAAAGGTTTGGGATTGCTTGGTGAAAGATGATATCATGCACATTTGAATTTATAGAATGGGGGCATTGGGTAAAACAGCCTTGGCAACCCATATCTATAATTTACTTTTACAAAGTTCTGAAACTTCTGACGTGCATGTTCATTGGTTCTTTGTATAGCAAGATTAAAGTGTTATAAATTGCAGTACGAAATTGCCAACATTTTAAAGTTGGATCTCACAAAGGAGAATGAAAGAAAGAAAAGGGCAACCAAATTCTGACATGCATTGACAAGAATGAAGAAATATGTACTTATCTTGATGATGTGTGGAAACATTTTGGTTTTGAGGAGGTGGAAGTTCCGTGTAGAGTGAATGGATTGAAGTTGATTCTTACTACTTCCAAGTTGGAGGTGTGTCAAAAGATGATGCAATGACAAAAGATGATGCATGGACTAAATATGGGACTGTAGCTATCCTGCACAAAAGAAGGAAACAGGAACATTGAAGGCTTGTCCTTACATCCCAGGTATTTTACTTAATAATCACTTCTTCATGTTAGCAGAATTTGAAAAAAAAAAAAAAATTATTTGAGATGTTGATAAATTTTTATGTTTGTTGACAGGAAATGAATGTTGTGAAAGGCTGGCATACTATGGGATGAGCTCCAATCTGGTGCTTCATTTCAAGATTCATCTAAACCAGCAAAGTTCTACGGCTTCTAAGAATAATTTAAATTGGTCGGGAACCTGCTACCTCACCCTCTGACAGACCGTTTCTTGCCAATCCCTATCTAGGAAGATTTTATACAATTGCTACCGTCTCTATCATCTATGTCATTGTAAGTTTGTTTGTTCATCTCGTTAGAAAATCAACTTTTTGAAATATTATAAATATAATTGGTTGTTAACATGGAATTAGAGTATAAAATCTGCATATATTTGGTAAATAATGAATTAGGAAACCCAAAGATTTTGAAAAATTAATGGGGATTCAAGAAATAGGTAAGGAGAGATCAAACAATAAAGCAAAATATTAAGAGACTGAGAACATATTATGAAAAACATACAGCATCAAGAATGAATAGGAGAATATTAAAATAAATAAAATAAGATTGGACCTTATGATATATCCATATATATATATATATATTTTCTATTTATGTCGTCTTCTTTCCACGAGGCATTAGAATTTCAGTTTCATTCATATTCCTCTTTTATATTAACCTATATAGGCTTGGGTTGTCAATTATTTATTTATTTAAGGCTTGAAATGTCATTTAAGTTGTTCTATATATGAATATTAATCCATCATATATATGTATATATCCATATGTTATTGGTTTTTCTTTCATTTTGAGCATGTATATTATAAACTAATATATAAACAAGGGTTAAGTGCAATGAACCCCCTCTCTATATACAAAATGTGCAATGAACCCCTTGTTGTTCATAAAAACCCCTACATTTTTCAATTTGTGCAAATAAGTACAAATCTCTAATTTAGTCAAAATTAAAGAATAAAATTACTAAACTACCCTTGCGATATAATAAATACATAAAAATAGATAATATATATATATATATGCAATTCTCTCTCTTTCTCTTCTATTTCCCACCCCTCTTCCATTTCTTTCTCTACATATAGTTTTTCCAAGAGAAATATTCCAGAAGGAATTGGCCCATCCAGAGAACAACTTCCAAAGAAATTAAAAATTGAAATACTACAAAACAGGTAAAAGTCTCAATTTTTGGAGATTTGTCCAGTTTTTGATGAAATTGAGGATCTTTCCTAAGAAGTAGTTGTCACTGATTCTATTGCAATGTGTAAAAGAATAATTTAAACAATTGACTTTAAAACTAGGAAATAAATACATATTTGGAAAAAATAAAAAGTAAATACTTTGGACATTTACAAGTCCTTCAAACTGGTCAGGTCTGCAGCTCCCCAGTGAAATTGTTTGAGCTTAGATGCCTTCAATAAAAACTATTGCAACTGAGTTATTGCTCATGGGTTTGTTGGTGAAAAATATTTTCTCGGAAAGTATGACATATATATATATATATATATATATATATATATATATATAAACTCAACTACATTATTGAATCACGAAAATGGGTTTACCCCTTGTATTTCGAGCGAGGTGAGAGAAACAAGAGAGAGAGAGAGAGAGAAAGGGTAGAGGTTTTTTTTCCTTGCCTACGTGAGTGAGGGGCATTTTGAGATTTTTAAAAATTATTTGGTCAAAATGGAGGATTAGCGGCAATTTGCTCCAAATTTGAAAAATATAAGGATTTATATGCACTTATTAACTAATAGGGGTGTTTCTTGCACATTTTGTATATAGTGAGGCAGTTTTTTGCACTTAACCCTATAAACAAAAGCATGTTTTATAGTAAATTTTATTTTCCTAGTTCATGTTTTGTTGTAATTGACATGACTTTGTTTCAATTGTGTGGAAAGAAATCCAGGCTCATACGAACTGGATTTTTAAATTTCTATAGACTGTCATGTGTCAAAAACAAAGTAGAACAGCTGTGCACTTTTAAAATATTGGTGGGGGGAAGGAATTATGAAAAAATTGTTTGCAGATGCCTCATTAGTTCATATTCTAATTAATCAAGTCCTGCCAATTATTTATTGCAAAAAAATGTTTTTTCTCGACTCTCTACAGTTAAAAACATCTTTTGGTTGAATTGTACGTTTTTGCTGTGAAAACACTGACAAGATTTCAAATTCATGTAGGGAATGACATTTGTTGACAATGTCAGCATCAATTCCTGGCCTAAAGCCAACCTGTTATGAAAAAGATGTTTGCCACACGACAAATACGCAAGGTGCAGTGTTCTTCCTAGCACTTGATAGCTCTTGGGAATGGAGGGATTAAACCTTGTGTCTCATCCTATGGAGCATATCAGTTTGATGATGTTGATGAGGCAGAGAGGAAACAAAAGAGTTCTTTCTTCAATTGGTTTTATTTTTCAATCAATGTTAGTGCACTCATTGCTTGGCAATTGCAGTTGTGAGCTTCTTTTCGGGTACTAGGTTGTATCGGTACCAGAAATCTGGACACAGCCCTTTGATGCGCATCTTTCAAGTGCTGGTGGCATCCGTGAGGAAATATCAAGTTGAAGTGCCTCTGGACAAGTCTCTTTTGTATGAGCCTGCAGATGCAGAGTCTGCTAACAAAGGAAGTCGCAAGCTTGATCACACCTCAGCCTTCCGTCAATATAGGTTACACCTCAACTCCCATGTCTTTCTGCCTCATCATGGATATTTCCTGTTCTTCCAATGCATTCCTCCACTCATGAGTATCAACCACCTCCCTCATGCTTCCACCCATTGTTATTATCCCAAGTGGTAGTAAGAATCAACTTCAATCCATTCACTCTACAAGTAATTACCACCTCCTCAAGACCAAAATATTTCCACACGTCATCCAAGATAAGTCTAGATTTCTTCATTCTTGTCAATGCTTGTGAGAGTTTGGCTGCCCTTTTCTTCTTTTCGTTCTCCTTTGTGAGATCCAACTTTAACATGTTGGCAATTTCATACGTCACGCCTTAATCTTGCTATACAGTGAGCCAATGAACATGCACCTCAGACATTTCAGAACTTTGTAAAAGTAAATTATGGATATGGGTTGCCAAGGCTGTTTTTCCCAATGCCCCCCTTCTCTAAATTCCATTGTGCATGATATCATCTTTCATTAGGCAGTCCCAAACCTTTTCCAAATTCTATGTAAATTCTTCACCTGTTAATTTTGTGTCAACAATGCCATTGCTTTGGTGTCATCATGTACATCAAGTAACAGAAATTTACCTTGCTCTCAACAAGTTCTAAGCATGTTTTCCCAATGGTAAGTTTTGGAAAGTAGCATTGCTTCCTTGTACATCTCGTTCTAAGCTTTGAAATTCCTTTTCTTCTTTTGCACATTATCCAACCAATTGTCAATCCGTCTCTTTCGTTTCTTTCCCATTTGAAACTCTGCATATTGCAGCATTGCAATTACATCAATTTCTCAGCAGCTTTATCATTCAATTTTGCTTCCGAGAGTTTGCAGCTTATTATCAAGGCTATTGAAATTGCTTAGCTGTTCCTTGGCGTTCCTCAAGATGTGTTGCAACTGTTTTAGACCTATTAATATTTCGCTTTCTTGTAAATTTCTCTAGTCCTTTATTGTTTGTAATGGACTTGTTTTCTTCTGCTTAGTGGGGGGTATGTCCCCCGCTTGTTCCCAATATAGCGTATGATTTTATTTATTTTTGCCAATTGTTACTTGCTCCTTCATGCATCTTGGAATGTATTAAAAAATTGTTAAACAAATAAATATATATAGAAATTGCAAGTTATTTCCAAGTATATCACTTCTAGAAAATTACAAGAAAAAAAAAATAAATCAATGGTGAATAGGTCAAGTTCTCTCCTGACCAAGGGTATAGTTGTAATTGACAGAGAGACATGAGAAAGGGAATGGTCTACATGTAATATCATTGGGATGCACATGACTAAATGGTAACTTCTGCACTTAACGGGTCACTCATAATTTTCTTAGATGTCCCCTAAATTTGAACATATTAAGGGCATATAATTATACATTTATTAAGGGCATGTAACCCTAGTTAGTAAATTCGCTAATGATTCAAAGATCTGATAAAATACGCTAATTTTACACCAATCCAAAAAAAAAAAAACAATTTATAAGGTTTTGATTCGTGTTAGTCACGTTTTTATATCTCAAGTCTCAACCATGGATTTTAAACGTAATGCAATATATATATATATATACATAAATTCTTATAGATCCTTGTAGATAATTTATTTTTATTTTTTAAGATCACTTAATTTTTGTTTGTAATGGTAGATATTTATGGATATGTCTTTATTTTATTTCATTTATGAAAGTTTATAGACATGCAATGAGTCAAAAACACTATGCATAAATGTATTATTTTATTTTATTTCTAAATTGTAATGTTGCTCCTTTTGCTACTATGAGATCACACTGTACAGGGCAGACAGTTATGAGAATCCTATTAGGTGGCAAGCTCCTCCAGTGGACGTGCTTAAAGTTAATACTGATGCATTATTTTGCAAAGTCTTATGTGAGGCTGGAGGTGGAATGGTTCTGCGTGATCATAGGGGAAAGGTGTTGCGATTGGCGTCTTTTTTTCTTTCACAGAGTTTCAGATTCATTAGTGGCTGAAGGTTTGGTGCTTCAAAAGGTTATGGACCAGGTTATTCGTTGGGGTTACAGTCGTATTGTGTTTGAGATTGATGCAGAGGTCATTGTCAAGGCTGTGATGTTAGATGGGTCTGCATCTCTTTTACTTAGCCCTCTAGTAGAAGATATCCGTGAATGGCTTCATCATCACCTTGATTTTGATTTGGTGTATATACCTAGAGCAGGGAATGAGGTTGCCCATGTAGTTGCTGCTTATGCTTTACAAGAGAAAAGTACATGTTTATGGGATGATAATTTCCCAGAATTTGTTTTGCATAAAGCTAGTTTGGATGTAACTTCTGATTCTAATCAATAAATATGTTTTCTTGCTTGGGAAAAAATAATAATAATAATAATAATAATAATGTATTATGTGAAATTCTAATGGGTTAAGTGCAATGAACCCCTCTCTGTATACAAAATGCGCAATGAACCCCTTGTTCATAAAACCCCCTACATTTTTCAATTTGTGCAAATAAGTACATATCTAATTTAGTCAAAATTAAAGAATAAAATTATTAAATTACCCTTGCGATATAATAAATACATAAAAATAGATAATATATATATATATATGCAATTCTCCCTCTTTCTCTTCCATTTCCCACCCTTCTTCCATTTCTTTCTCTACATATAGTTTTTCCAAGAGAAATATTCCTGAAGGAATTGGCCCATCCAGAGAACAACTTCCAAAGAAATTAAAAATTGAAATACTACAAAACAGGTAAAAGTCTCAATTTTTGGAGATATGTCCAGTTTTTGATGAAATTGAGCATCTTTCCTATGAAGTAGTTGTCACTGATTCTATTGCAATGTGAAAAAGAATAATTTAAACAATTGATTTTAAAACTAGGAAATAAATACGTATTTGGAAAAAATAAAAAGTAAATACTTTGGACATTTACAAGTCCTTCGAAGTGGTCAGGTCTGCAGCTCCCCAGTGAAATTGTTTGAGCTTAGATGCTTTCAAGAACAAACTATTGCAACTGAGTTATTGCTCATGGGTTTGTTGGTGAAATTTTTTTTCTCTGAAAGTATGACACGCACACATATATATATATATATATATATGTATATATATAAACTCAACTACATTATTGAATCACCGAAAATGGGTTGACCCACTTGTATTTCGAGCGAGGTGAGAGAAACAAGAGAGAGAGAGAGAGAGAGAGAGAGAGAGGGGTTTTTTTTCCCTTGCCTACGTGAGTGAGGGGCATTTTGGGATTTTTAAAAATTATTTGGTCAAAATGGAGGATTAGGGGCAATTTGCTCCAAATTTGAAAAATATAAGGATTTATATGCACTTATTAACTAATAAGGGTGTTTCTTGCACATTTTGTATATAATGAGGCAGTTTTTTGCATTTAACCCTATTCTAATTTAATTTAATTTGAAATTTTAATTTTAATAAATTATATTTATGCATCTACTATATATATATATATATATATATATATTATCTTGAAAAGATGGGAAAAGAGAATAATTTTTTTATATTTTTGGATAAATATAGTTGATTATTTGAATTAGAATTTTTTTATTAATTTGTGATGAATTTATGATGTCATAGTTATTGATTAGTTATATTTAATTAGTTTATTATTTCCATGGTTATTGTGATAATGTCAATTTGCATAAAAAGAAATTTTATTTTATTATTTCTTAATATTTTATTATCTATGTTATTATTTATTGCATTTTATTTTAATGTCTTTACAAGGATATGATACACCATAAAATAAAAAATGTGTGTATATATAGCTGAATTTTCAGTTCCAAATTTATAATCCATCAAACATATTATGAAGTACGTATTCGTGTGATTATCGTGTTATCTTTGTCTTTTTTTTCGGCATTCATTTTTTTTTCTTTTTTTGTTTAATTATTTATTTATTTAATATTCTTTTTTCGCGTTGCCCTAGGGATTTGTTGCACCCGAGGTAGGCTTCGGTGTTCGGAATTGATTTCCGGCACCATGTGCATTGCATTATATTATCTTTTACAATCCGTGCATGATTTAATTTCGTTGAAAAGCATGCCCATTTATTTTTTATTTCTGGGGATATGGATGAATAGTTTCTTCGGAAACAAATTTTTTTTTTTCGGGGTGTTTTGCGTAATTAAGTTTTTGAGACATTTTGCCATGGGGACTTATGTGCAATTATTCTTTGAGATATTTAGTGGAGGGTGACAAGTGGCACTCTCTCATTCGCCCTGTTGACTTTTTATTAGATATACTTGAAAGCCTAGGATGATGACAAGGGTAAGGCTTGCATTTAGCCTAATGAGGAGGCCTAAATTCATGACAAGTGGAGGGTGGATGTGCGTGTGTGAGAGAGGTGGTGTTGGGATGGTGTATTTGGCCAACAAAGGGTTTTAAGTTAGTGGAAAAAGGTGTGAAAGTTGTCTTCCTCACTTAGCCACCATTGTTGAGACCTTGAAACCCTAGCCATCATTTTCAGATTTCAACCCCCTTCCCTTGGGATTTTGGTCTTCCACCTTGAAGACAAAAGTTTCCTCTCTTCTTTCTAGAACACCTTTTCTCAGTTTCTTCATTTGATGTCGTTTGCCTTGGATTCTAGAGAGACAATCCTCTAGTGATGCACTTTGAGAAATCCTGAAACCCTAGCCTCCATTTCTGAAATTCGAACCCCTTTCCTTAGGATTTTGGTATTTCACCTTGAAGACAAAAGTTCCCTCTCTTCTTTCTCTAGAACACCTTTTCACAATTTCTCCAATTGCTTCCATTTGCTTTGGATTCTAGAGGCTCAATCCTTTAGTGAGGTAAGGGTTGTCCTATGTTTATACTCTTGTTGTTTCTTACTTTCTTTATTATTGATATATATTGTATACATGTAAATTGAAGTTATAGGATTGTATTTAGATGTATAATGATCATATCTAACTTAGGGTTTCATTTTACACAAGGCTTATATGTGATTATTCTCTTGTGTTTTTGTTGTTTTACATAGTTGAAGTTCGAAATCTTGTATTATGTTGTTGTTACTAAATATTCTAGGATTATTGTTGTCATTAATTGTGTATTGATACTATGTTGTTGTTTAAATTGTTATCCAAAATATGGTCTAATTATACTATATACTATAGTATTATTTATTTAAATATTATCTTTAAATATAAAATAATAATCTAGTAATATATAATTTCTTATAATATATATTTTAATATAATCAAATAAAACTATAAAAATAAATGAACCTGATTAAAAGTCGGGGCTAGAATTTGATTCTATGTCCTTAAGACAGATTCGCCCTGCTATGGTGCTAATGGACTCAGTGGCGTCTATCTCCCAGGATACAGCGACTTGTCTTCTTTCGGTAGTAACACTGCAAACCAAAGGAATAAGTGAACCAGCTCGGTGTAGTATTCTCTGACTCGAATTCGGACTCGGAGTGACTGACTAAGGCTCGAACCTAAATACTAAGGGTCGAACCCACAGACTAAAGAAAGAAGGAGGAAGAAGAAAATTCAGAAGAAGAGAAGAATTCTCTGAATTTTGGTGTGTTTTAGAATGAACCCAAGGAGGGGTATTTATAGGCTAGATGGTGCCTTTTTCGAATGGGTGTAACCATTGGTTCACAATGGTTCATGAAAAACTGCAGGTGGTTTATTTTGCAAAAGGGTGCAACCATTGGTTCATAAAAAAACTATTTTATGGTTTTAATTTAAATTAAGTACCAAAACTGTTTTAATCCATTATGAAGCCCAGCAAACAGGCCCAATTCGGCCATCTTAATAAGCCCAACAAAAATAAAATTAAAATCCAATCACACAAGCCCAATTTTATTTAATAAAAAATTAAACATATTTCACAATCAAGCCCCGCCCCGCCCAGCCTAGCCCCAGCCTAGACCGGACTGGGTCAGGCGGGCGACGCGCTCGTGTGTGGTAGTTGGTTCGGACCCAAGCTTGCCTAGGTCCTCCCCCTCTTAAAAACTTGGGTGCCCTTGGGCCCAAATCCAAATCCCATACTAGGCTTATTTAAACTTATACTGGTTTTAATAATTTTCCGATGTGGGACAAA